AGTCCAAAACATTTGTGTTACAGCTGACTGACGGTGCTGACAGAAACATTGACAGCATGAAAAGAGTAGCCTGCATTACCAGAAGTTTCACAAAAACAAAAAATGCCCACAGTGAGCAGTAGATATCGACACCAACAACGGTAGATGCGCAAAACTCTGGGCAACACCTGCAGACTGCCAATGCAGCATGACGGAGGCCTTAAAACATGATTAACAGGCTTACTGTCAGGCCACTTGTAACGGCAGTAACATCTAAAGTGAATCTAACATCGTGCTGCAACTAATAAACTGCCTTTCTAGTCGAAGCATCCTGCTTGTAAACAAAAAGCACAACCCATCACCACAAATCAGAGTATTTGGTTATGCTAGCAGTAGAGCAGGGCGATATGGCCAAAAATATTTATCACGATATACATTTGAAAATTTGCAATAACAATATAACTGGTATATAATTGATGCGAGACACGACAAAATACAACTCCACAACTTTACAAGCACAAAAAAAACATCCATTTATTTTCACTTAAACAAGCAGCTGTTTTTTATGTGCATTAAAGCCATATAAAAATGTAACAGTGCAAAATTCCTCGCTCAAAGTTTAACCAAAAGGCATTTCCAGTAGAAATGGGCTGACATATCCTGAGCATAACCATGTATAATATCCACTGAAGTTAAAAAGAGGTGCTTTGCAACATTAAGCTGCAGTGTGCCAAATAAAAAAGTCAAATACGTATTTTTCGGACCATAAGGTGCACGGGATTATAAGGCACGTTAAGTGAACAAAGCAGTCAGATAAATCAAACTTTATTAAACTCATTCTTCTTGCTTCCTCCACTTCTGTACCATTGATTCATTAATGTTGAATTCTCTGGCAGCTGCTCTATTCCCATGTTGTTGCAGTATATTAATGACTAACCTCGTATTGTGGATGGATTATCTCAGTTGTTCTCCTGACTGAAGTTTGGTCCGTTTACAGCATCCTGCCATGCGACTGCATTTGTCCCTAACCATGAGGAACCTTCACGTTAACTTTTATAAGTGGAAAAGTGTTAGTGTTCGTCCTCCAGCTTCACTGTGTTTATGCTAACATAGCTGTGTCGCTAGCGATCACGTAGCACATCATTATATAGCAGCTAGTCCAACTGCAGTAACCCTACAAACGTCACTGCTGTTTAGTTTCCTGTCTTCATTTATGTTGGAAGTGATAGCAGAGCCGTACGTTTGAATTTTTTCAGAAATCTCTCAGTCAGAACATGCAATATCATGCTTAGGTAACTAGCGAAACTAGCGAGCTAACTTCCGCTAACTTCCTGCTAATTTCTAACTCCGTTAAATGTAATAAATTCTGTTTTCATGGATGCCTGGATGTTAAACTTCATAGTTACACCTGGTAAAGCAGCAATGCTGATCGTTTTATTAAAGATGAAAGAATTTAGACAGTTTTTAACTCTCAGTGATGCTGCAGTGTTCGTTTGACTTTGGGACCCTATGAGAACTGAGTTTAGGACCCAGATTACTCCCAGATTTACGAGCACCTTAGTCCGACAAATACAGCAATAACGACGGCCGCTTGCATGTTGTACAAAAAAAGTGCTTTGTTGTGTATCTGATGGACAAACACCAAACCAGTTCCACATCACTGAAGCTGCACCATTTTTACAAACCAATTCTATTTCATCCGTTACACTCAACGATCCACTTTCTCCCTTCTCATTCTCCGTTGCCGCCATGCTTTTTCGGCCATGTGTGTATGAAAACAAAGGCACTGCGCATGCGCGTTTTACCCATATTCTATCGCGATGTTTTATTTTCTTATCGTTGCCTAACATTGTACCGGTATTACCGTGAACAGTATAATATGGCCCAGCCCTAACTAGCAGTCCAGCAGGATTAGTGCATTCGCTGTCCGCTTGCAGTCCAGGTGATGGAGTGTTTCCCTGCAGAGAGCGCTGCTGTCAGATGGAGGCAGTGTAGAAAGTATGTGGTCCAAGTGGTCTGTGGTTACTCTTGCTTGTACTGTTGTCGGTCTGTCAGTCAGCCACAGAGAACAGCGAAGTTAAAACAAAAAGCTGAAAGTGAACGCGAGTATTAAAAACAATGAAAACTGATCACTGCAGCCACTGTCTGTGCTCTCCATGTTGTAGTTTAATGATCTTCGATTTTTATTTTTCCCCCAAGACTCCCAGCGAATCCCTTTTCGTATTCTGGCCCACTTCTCAACCAATCAGCATTTGGCTGATGCATACATCACACGCTTCCAGCGAATCCTTGGAGGACTCCGTGTGAGCACATCCCATCCAAATGGATGCAAGCACACGGACAATTTGCAGGACCATAAAATTACACTTCAGTTAGCAAGCAGCTAAATTAAAGTTAAAACTGAAAAGTAGTAGAACAGCGAATTAAACAAAAAGGAAGGAGGGTAACAGACGTAACAACAGCAGAACAGACAAACTGGTCAATCTGACATTATGACGCCATCACTTTTATTGCCATTGACTTTTTGTTTGTTTTTTTTAATTTTGCTTTAGAAGGCAGAAAACATGAATTAATATGAACTCTTACATCCAATTATCAAATGTACCAGATTCAGTTTCATTGGCAGACCCTGAGATGTTGACCAAGAAACAATGACATAATCATGTTTGGGAGTATAAACGCTGACAACACTATAAACAAATATTACAGCACAGCTACTATCCCAGTTTATGACAGCATGTATATTCAACCATTTAGGTAATAAGCACCAGCCTGGTTTTAAATGACAGGTTCTCTGCTATGTTAATACACAACATTAAAATGATTTAAATAGTATTACATTCAAATTTGACACCATCATTTTTACTGGAAATGTGTATTGGTTCCAAATACTGACCGTTTCTTCATTATATATTATATACCTATAATCCTACAATCATCTGAGCCAAGTTCAAAGTGTCATTTTCATTTATTTGATCTCTGATTTCTTTTCCCCATAGATTTATCTAGAATTTATCTAGAAAAGATGTATTCTTTTTCATTCAAGAGAACTACCACAACCCTAATATTTATCTGATTTATTTATGATCATATTGTGTATATAGCTCACATATACACCTTGAAAAATAGAAAAACGTGTCCACATTTAATGCCATTATAAAATCTGATACCAAAGTTTGGATTCTTATTCCCTGATGATAAATGGTACAATTTAAATGACTTAGACTTCCTATTACAAACGCATTACTTTTGTCAACCCTTTATAGCTCACGAAGAGCCACATATAAATAGGACAGAGAAAATGGAGCAGAAAGACCCCACTTGTTATTTTTGCCATTAAAGTGAGGTGAGCACATTTATGGTGGATTTCTAAGCCAATCAAAGAATGTTTTGAGCCCGCCGGATACTGTTCTTGTCTGATGAAGTGGAACAGCGACCCCATAACGAGACTATGGTGCCATTAAGATGTTAATGAGCCAAACTGGTGTAGACACAAGACTGAATGATGAGACAAAAGGCTAAACAGCACACTATGCAAACCTTAATATTACACTGTGACTCTCACAGCTTTTATACGGAGAGAGAGAGACTAGGAAATCCTAAATAAAGGATTGCTTTATTACAATTTAATTCTCTCACTAACAAGCCAACTGGATTGCAATGCCTTGACCAAGACTCTGTGGCTTCCCATCAAAAGATCAGAAATGTTTTCACTAAGTACCACAGCATATTGAACTCAAGTTTCACATTATTGTTTAGAGTAGGTGGAGCCACTTGTTAGTTTCAGTGTAAATTCCAGCACACTAAACAGCTATACCCACACCATGAGCCTAAATAACACGGAAACTCGTTCTAATGCAGATATGAGATGAATTCTCGTGTATCATTTGGTTTCGTTTTGATGGTAACAACTAGCAACAAAAATAACATCACAAAATGTTTTAGAAATGAAATCATGCACAGCCAGATACATTATTTCAAATGCACAAAGCCTTAAGAGGAAACAGCCCAAGCTGGTTAAAATGTAACAAGGTGAAGAAAAACTGGAGTCCACTGTTGACCATTGACACTAATCAGAGGTTTCACACACACTGTCAACAGAACAACATAAACCCTCTGAGCTGAGGGTCACTAGGACTAAACTGCCAACAAAGCAGAGTCCTGGCAGTGAGGCGTTAAAAACCATAAATAAATTATACCGACGTGAAGGAAGCCGTCACAGCAGCAGCAAACATGCGATCAAGTTGGCGTGATACCGGATTTGGGGCTGGGGGGTAAGGGCAGATGGCAGACGGGGG